TATATATATATATATATATATATATATATATATATTTATTTATTGGTTTAATGCACTTGATATATATATACTTGTGTAAACTACTTGAGAGGAAATGAAGACTTACTGCAACAACAGCTATAGGGGTTGTGATATTTTGAATTGCGTCGAGACCTTCTCTTGCGAGACGGAGTCTGAGGTGATTTGGATCTGGCTTCACTATAGGAAACCTGCAACATATGCATCAAGTTATGCCACCAAGAGAGAGAGAGAGAGTGAGAGACCAAAACTTCCCTTGTCCAGTTCTTAATCACTCAAACTTTTCTGAGAGAGCAATTCAAAAGGCATAATTTTCCTTGCTGCAAAAGGAAAAAGATCTACAGGCTTATATATATATTCAGCAACTTTGTCAAGGGATTTTTTTTTTCCTTTTCCTTTTGTTTTTGTTTTTTGTCTTAATTAACGAAGAAGGCTCATGCATGAGTTGGTCAACATCCACCTTGAGGCACAGAAAAGCTCAACTCTGCATGGCCTTCATGTCCACGTGGAAGAAGAGAATGTGATGCTTCAGGAAAAAGAATGATCAGAAGGAGGTTTTTCGTATACTTGACCAAAGACTCATCGCTGAGTTGATCAGCATCCAACTTTGGGCACCGAAAAGCTCAGCTCAGCTCTGCATGGATTTCGTGTTCAGTTACATGCACAGCTGACAACAAAACCACATAGAAGAAGAGAATGTGACGGTTCAAGAAAAAGAAAGACTAGAGGAAGGCAGTGAGCTTGCGCTCATTTCTTCGCTATGATTGATGTACGGCATCGATCAAAGGACGACGACGAACTGAACAAGGTCCGATCTACGACGCATGTCATGGACGAAGGAGAAGATGCAACTTACGCTCGGCGGAAATCATTTGACTTGGAGGAGGAGGAAGAAGAAGAAGAAGAAGAAGCAGTGGCTGTGAAGATCACCGCTAAGAAACACAACAGTACTGTCGAAGAAACGTCCATCCTCTCTCTCTCTCTCTCTCTCTCTCTCTCTATCTCTCTCTCTTCTGCAGCTCGCAGCTGATCAAAGTGGGGAACCTACCTCTACGACGAGCCGAAGAGAGAAGCTAATTTCTTTAAACTGTTCTATCATCACATTTTTGGTGAGGCTTTAGCTCGACCTGTCCAATAGATTGGGAAAGAGAAAAGGTGTCAGGGGGGAAAAAAAAAAATTCTCATTGCTCTTTCCTTTTTTCTAAAAAAAAATTATGTTTTTATTTCACTTTCCTTTTTTTTTACATAACATTTGTTTTTATTTAAAAACTTATTGCATTTCTTGATTGAATTATGTCTAGTAGAATTTTATGTCCCAACAATCTGATGCAAAATCTTGTATGCCATATTTTAACTAAGAATCTAATAAGGAGCTAACCCTCTCAGAAAATTAGTCACAAATATTATCATTATGTTTGATTGATTGATTGACTAATCTATTGCCATTAAATACCAAAACAATTGGATTAGCTCATGATGAAATTGTGCTTCATTTTATGGATTTTTGTTGTTAATCCACGCTGCCATTTTATAAGTTATTTATTTGTTAACATTTTAGTAATTGTTGATTTTTTGTAGTTTGCTATTATATCTGTGCGACACATTTATTTTACTGTTTGTGTATCTATTTAAACAAATTAAATTATTCATACGAATAAAATAAGATTGTTCCCACAGCTCCGAAGGTTAAAAAAGGACTTGAAAATTCAATTTTTTTTTACTTTTTGGTAATAATCTGAATTTTATTACGTTTGATAATTTTGGTTTAGAAAATTTTTTAAAAGTCAAATCTAAGATACTTTTTTTTTTAAATTTATGTACAGATTTAGATATTTAATTAATTTTAAATTTCTAATTTCTAATTTCTAATTTTCAAGATTTCTAAATTATAAGTTTAGAAATATTCAATTCTTGGATAACTTTAAATTCTGAAATTGCTCTAAAAACAACCTTCCTGCAATTTAATTCCTTAAAAAACTTGCCATATAACAATTTTTATTAAAAACTAAACCTTTCTATTTCAGGAATAATCAATTTAAGTATATCTAAATTGGTAAGTTAAAAGAGGAAAGTATGAAATCTGTTTTGACCTTTTATTCTAAAGAAAACTAAAACAAATTCAAGATTGATAAGACTAAAGTCAAAAACTAATAGAACAAGAGAATTAATAAGAGGTAAATGGTGAAAACGAGATTATTTCAATTAGATTGTAGCATGAGTGTAAAAGCATCGGGTAACACTAATAATATTGTGATGTTTATCAATAAAAGCTTTGATAGGAAATATATAATCACCTGTCATATGAATGTTAAGATCTTTTGAAAGAAAATGCCCAGATGACTCGACACTCGCTTGCTTACATGGGTAGAAGTCCAAGAGACAACTCGGATTGATTACCGACTACTTTCAATGTGGAATATTTATAGAAGTATTTTTAGGAGTATAAGGGGCAGATCGGGTCAATTACAAACCGCTTCCCCTACGAAATATTCCCAAGAATATTATTGGGAGTCCAGGGGTAGCTCAGATTAGTTACAAATCATCTCCCATACGAAATTTTTACGAAATATTTTATCTCTTCAAGGTCGGGCATAAAAATACACTCTCAATTCTAGGTAAGGGAGGCACAAACCAAGAACTTAAATATAAAAAAGTTGACATTAGGACTAACTTAAGCATCGAAGGGATCGACCTAGGAAGCTTCTCCCGACTTTAATCTTTATGCATATGACAATTCTAGACTGCACTTTCCACCTTGAATGACTTGACACATATGGATCAGGGACATGTCATACTTGAAAAGGATATCAATGATATTTTCTTTTAATATTTTGGTACTAGAAGGAGGGTATGATATCAGAGAAGCATCCACAAGCTGGCCTTGTCAACAAATTTGTTTAGGTGAGGCTCTGTCCCCGACTCATAGCACTTTTACTTAAACATGATAATAGCCACCCTTTCCTCACATTGATGCATCCACTTTGGCATAAGTACTGATGCAGTATTGACGTCTGTTCAATAACTTAAGACTCTCACCCTTGGGAGTGTCGCCGGGCCATCTACTCGTCCCTGCTGAGGTATTCTTAAACCTTACCCAACAAATGTAAGCACTAGTCAACATAATGCAGTCTGTTGCTTTGCTTCTACCCCGGCTAGCCCAATAGGTGATGCCATCGCCTTAGCCATAGTCGGTAGTCAGTAGCCCGACAGCCACTTACATCAGCATATGTTGGGGTCCCCACACTCGACGAGTTGCCAACATTTTGGGGCATATGAGGCCCATTGAACTGTTGGCCAAGGGAGCACCCCACTCTCTGACCATGGAGTTTAGTAGATCGCCCCACCACTACTTTGCTCCGCTCAAATTCGAAACTCACTCGGTCGATTCAACGGACAATTCCTTGAGATTCCAACTATAGCAAATGGATCGACGCTAAGAAGAGATGCGCCGAGACTTTTAGTAATACAGGGGTGAGGGATAGGTTGACCCCAACTCAGATTGGTCACCATTTATCTAGGATATCCAAGAGGAGCCAATCTCGATAAACTTTTACCTTCCATTATTGGAGGCCTTTGATGGCGTTACTAGCCCAACAGAATACATTGTCACCTTTCGGACTTAGATATGACTATATGACACTTCCGATACCCTAATGTATCACGCTTTCCCGACCACACTAAGAGGCTCGACAAGAAAGTGATACACTCATCTAAAACTGCTCTTCATCAGCTCTTTTACTTAATTTACAAAAGAGTTCGAGCTCTACTTCCATGGGAATATATGTTGGAAAACCATTAAGGGAGCATCACATGTGCAATGAAAAAATAAAACAAAATTATTTCCCGAATAAGGAGCATCAGATCGTCGGGTGATGACCATGAGCGTAAAACTCAAAATTACAAAAATCACACTAAGAGGGTAAGACGTTCTCACCTAGGGAAGATTGTGTGTCCCCTAATACATAGATCCTAGTCTGACGGATGAAGGAGTTCTCGTGAACTCCTCTCTAGCGGTAATCCACACAGTGGATGATAACGACAACACATCTCTTCCTTGCTACGTGTTCTCTCCTCGTGATAGTGCATCACCATGCAGCAACAATAAGCAAGAAGGGGTCGGCCCTCTTGCTATCCTCTCACACTAGAGAGGGGGCTCACGATAAGAGAGAGATGAGAGGAAGAGATGAGGAGACCAACGACTCTAGGGGTCTACCCTATAATTCTTTGAGCCCCACTCATATTTATAGAGAGCCCTTTCATGAAACCCTAATGTATCCTTCTTAATGGGTCTTGGATCTCAATCCAATAACCCCTCCAAGCTCCATGCTCTATTGGGTCTCATGTAATGGATCTATTAAAACAAGAGTAAAGGAGATTTGATATATATCTTATATTCAATCTTCTATTCATCAAGTTGTCTATCATATGTGTGACTAGTTAAAACACATATGATAAAACACTTTTTGACCCAAAACTACTTCTGATTTAGTGAATTATTATTTTCATAATAATTCACTTAACTTATCGACTATAGATGTACTAAACCACTACGCGATAGTCTCTAGATGATATAGGAGGATTTAATTTATTGAATCTATATACCCTCAGTTACCGTGTATCTATAGTCTCTCATTCATCTAATATCCCAAAGATCATATACTGGGTATGGTGCTGTTATGCCCATACAGAATCCATCAAAGTCTCACTCTTATCGGATTCTCCTAGAGAACTTCTTTTTCAATCCGAGTGACCCTGACATGAGATTTTCTTGAGTGAAAACATATGAGATATTTCTATTATGATATCAAGAGTAGATGATCCTTTATTAACACCCAATTACTTTCATAAGGTTAGCTGTCATTTGTAATGACCATTTATACTAGATTTAGAATTTCTAAACCTATAAGTTCGGTATCAAAGAATGAAGTACTCAAACAATATATCCTTAGTGTTTGAAGTCTAAAAACTAGATACACAATTGGGACTACGGAATCGTTATATGATGATGATATATCATTAACCATCCAGCATTCTATAAGCAAATCATTCAATAAAAATATTTTCCAATGAGCACTATATCCCTAATGCCCTCACACAAGAAATTATAAAAGCCTCTATCATATAGATAAGTATATAATACATCGGTATATTCGGTTATCTCAATATCTTTCTCGAGTAACCTATGACTAGAAATATTTAGGATGTGTTTAAAAGTAAATTTATCTCATTATCATAATCTCATAATGATCTAATTCTCATTGTATAGATTCAAGGATATCATAATATATTCATCAAATAATATAAAATAAAAAATATTATTATTAATATTAATCAAAAGAAATTGTGCAGCGAATTAGACGTATCATCACTCATGTGATGAGACCTGAATTCCTTTGCTTGAGCAATCACTCTGTTATTGTCGTAATATAAGAGAATCAGCTCCTTGCTACTCTGTATAACTTCTAGATCTACGATGAACTTCTTCATCCAGACTATTTTCTTTGCTGTTTCTATCATAGCAATATATTCCGTCAATTCACGTCGTAAATCACAATGCTTAATATGTCAAATCACAATGCTTCATATGTCTACAATGTCAATAAATGAAGCCGTAGGAGCAGTTCGACCACCGCAACGAGGTAAAAATTGCTAGCATATATCACATCATCGCCAATATAACACTCAAATTAAGCACTCGATCAATATGATGTGTCCATAATGGGCCACTTCACAAAACCTCACAAAACCTCTCCAACGAGTAACTTCTCACTAAATATTAATAATTACCCGAACCATTATTTAAAGAGCATTAGGTTTCCCCTCTCTTTCAAAAATCATATTTTCTCTCCACTTCTAACTTAACTATTGAAGGGGTGTTTATTGGGTCTGCCTCTGAGCCAGTTTTGCAGGTCATCAAATCGAGTCGAATCTAATCGCTTCCCGACACCAACCTTACGTTCAAATCAATATTGAACCAGGCTATCTCCCTAACGCACGTCAAGCAATCAGCATATTGGACAACCAAAAACTACTTTTACAACCATCTTCATAAAAACAATGGTTTCAACTTCAAGTTTCTGTGAACATCATGTTCACCCAAACCTCAACACTGCTGCCCACCACAAAAGCAGGATGGACATTGCATTACGTCTCTAAGGGAGACAACAAGAGCAGGCAGCATATACCGGCTTTCTCCTATTAATCAAAACCATATACCGGAGTTTTGAGGTTTATGTCTCAAAACTATCGTAGGCAGGTTTTTCTTAAAACTGTATCCATTTTGCCATTCAAAAACCTTATCCAATCATTAAAAAAATAATTAAAATGATCAGATTTGGGTAGGATCAGTCTGGGACTCATATCTGAATTCAATGGACCTCATCCATACCTACATTTGAAGCAACCTGCTCCAGCTAGGAAGGGGAAGTTGCACACCTAAAGGTGGCTTGCTCATTAGGTTTGTTGGGTTAAGAAAGATGCAAACAATATGGGTCTCAGGGTTCTTGTTTAATCTGATCTTTTCTACTCCAGCAGCATTTGGGAATCAAAACACCATCTTGACGACGTACAACTATGTCCATGTTGTAAAATAACCAGCAAAGGAGCATAACACACAGCAATATACCAACTGGAATTGCCCATCTGCAAGTAGCAAGAGCATAAAGAAAAGAACATTATTAAGGACAGTCATGACACTGGATTACGGAGGAGCTAAGTGCTGTGATGCTGCTTAATTTGATTAAATGAATAGGACTTGGAGAACTTGCCTGTTCAAGACAAGGATGTTGCCGACTATAATCTCCCATGCAGCCACAGCAATTTGAAAGGAAGGACTGTTATGCAGCAACTCTGATGACCCATATATTCTTGTATGCATCTCAAAGTATAGTGAGAAAATAAGCATGATGTAACCACCATATTTTAGTAAAGTAAACTTGAGAGTATGGCCGACTGCAGGAATAGTGATTGAAAGAACCAGCAAACTCAATGTTAGTCTTTGACAGTATTCCTTGAAGAAAAGGGATCGGGATTTTTCAAGCGTCTGAAGTAAAACAAAAGTCAAGATCAGACACAATTCACAGAAATGTCTCCATGCAGAAAATGTAGAGAAAATTGAGATTAATAAATTACACATTAAAAACAGTTATCAAAGAAGACAAGAGACATGGAAAAAGACCTTTCAGTGAATCTAGATAATATAAACTTATGTAGATCAAGAATGCCAAATGTCACGAAATGACTAAGTCACACAGCACATGTGGCAAAATACACATTTGCATCTTCTGCTTATCCACAAAATTCTCGCAAGATTGCAGGACAAGGAATCATAAAGACTTTGCCACAGTGAAGCATAGAAACAACAAACTTGCAAACATAACAACGGCCTAGTCCAAGGCCATATCTGTAAAAGACCAGATGGCCAAGTTCAGAAACAAAACTATCACCAGCATTAGCGACTGATTAAGCAGCAGAAAGGAGTGAGTAGCGTACAGGTCTCAACCTGCTCCGAAGGATCATGATCCATTAGCTGCTGCTGATTTGTAGATTCTAACAGAAATGTGTAACTTAGCTCATTTCTGAAATTTAGAAAACTCCTAACATACATGAGGAATAGTAGACTGACCAGCTGAAGTCAAAATCTAAAGAATTTAATAGTCAGTCAAAAAGTTTGGGGATCGCAACCAGTACAGGTTCTGTGATGTAAGAGAAACTTAGTTTACCTTTTGTTTAAATAAATTTAATTAGCTAGGGATATTTCACATATGTAATAAGTTGCCACATGTCAACATCCACTTAACGAGAGAAAAAGAAAGCAATTTCTATTAAAATGGAAGTAATCATATTCGATCTTGATTTAAGATGATAGATTTTGACTGAAGATTTTAAATATTCATCTCTATAAAGATGGAAGTCTATTATAAAAAATATCATCAAGAGAGGAAGATTATTTTTCAAATAAAATCAGAAATGTCACCTTCTTCAAGAGAAATAACATATCATATCTTTGATCTAATACAATTATAAGTTTACTTATTTCTATATTTCCTTTTTATCCTTGTACCTAGGCCTATAAAAAGAGGCTAGAACATTGTAATAAAGATCATATGGAACTGGTGTGATATCATAGTTATGTTTCCAATAGTATGATTCCATCGTCCACGTGCAAGATGTGCGAAGGTGCGAAGTTCTCATCCTAGAAGTTCACTCCTTGAGCTAGAGTGGATGTTATCCAATTTTATTGTTTTTTTCTTTCAAATATCATCTTTTCCTTCTCTCTTTAGGTCCTCTATAAAAAAAATCATGGCTACTCATCCCACATCATTCTGATATAAAAATATACTGATTATTTATGCAAATCAATGGATTGGAACAGGCTATGCTCAGTTCACACCCTTTGAAAACCTAGGAGCCCAACTCATCAATAAATTCCTAATTGAGTTGAAATTTGTAATTACTCTACAACTTGATTGACCAAGGATTATCTAAGGATCCCCCTATATTCTTTAATGTCGTATCTCTTACAAGTCATTCCAATCAACAACAGCATGGATGCTATTGAGAGATTTATGCACTGACTGTATAATTTTTTCAGGACACAACAACATTAACATGTTCTAAGTATATATTATATATATAAACACACAAAGAAATACAACTCCCAACAATTTGAGATACGGTATATGGAGCTTCCTGTACATTACATTATACTAAGGGCAATATCAATACTCAAAGAACTTGCTGATTTGTATAAAGACCACAAAAATCTGGTATTCATAAAAATGTCCGGAAAGTACGAAAACTTTTACCATCAGGCTTCATGAAAACCTAATATTTGTCGTGCAATAACGATACAATCTATTGCTATCAAGCATCTGTTGGTTCTCTTACACTTCACAATCAATGAACATCAAGCAATAAACCATGAGAGCAACAAGTGAATCACAAAATGGTGATAATCAGACTCTTGCAAATACAATAATCTTGATGGTGTCACTCAATGATAGTTGCTCAACAAAACAAGGCTCAGTTAGTTTTCTTTCTATAAGAACATTGAAATGCCCATATCGTTCTTCAGTTAATTCTTTTTTTATGTACATTTTCTACAAGTTCTTTGAGAAGTAAAGGATTAAAAAAATCAGTATTGTCCAGACCATATAAGTCGGTTCTGGTCAATATTCATTTTTTTTAAATTTTTTGGTGATAGCAGGCAGTACAAGTTGGTGTATCAATACCATACTGGTTCAAAACTGGTTACAGGAACCAATATCAAACCAAGATCTAAATCCTTGTCCTGTGTCATGTCTGTCATAGCCCTGAATTTAGAATTGCATTGGTTATGCCCCAAAAAGGACTTGTAAGATTGAAGGGATTATAACTAATAAACAAATTCAAAGCTTTTCCTGAACTGATGTGGGACTGATCATATCGGGTTATTACAATTGGGATCGCAAGTCAACATAGTTTGGTAGAGAGATTACCATAAGAAGGTAAGTCTATATGTAATTCAGTATATATTGCTTAGTATCAACTAAATTTATGCAACTGACATAAATTTGAGCATGCCTAAACCTATTCATTTGAAGTGCCAAGAAAAAAAAATCCTGTCATTTCCCTTTAGTTTTTTTTAAAGGGAAATGACAAGATTGTATGATTGCACAAGTTCTGATTGTACAAAAAAAGTCCTGTCACTAATTGTACAAAAATATTCAGCACAAGTTCTTCATTGTATCAGGAGATTGTATGATTGCATAGACATGAAATTGGTTATTTAGTGACAAACCTTCGCCATTTTTAGTGCATACATTTCCTTTGATACCCCAACACAATCTCTTTCAAAATTCCGATTGCATCGAGTAAAACTAGCATTGAACTTTGTCATTGAAGGAAGTCTCACTACTAGAAGGCGATCCATTCTATTCTCACAGTCACTCCAACTGGCTTCACATTGTTTACTTGACTGATATTTGTTTGCTATGATGTGATTTTCATAAACCTGACAATGACAGACACACAAGTTAATAACAAACTAATATAAATAAGCAAGAAAAAATTGACACCCTGTAATTAATAAGTCGCTAATGGTATACATGACACACTATGAGTAATAGCTTAATATGCATGTCCAAAATGTGAGCACCAAAGACCACCATGCCAGTTGTCACTTGTTGGCTCATGCTATGCTATAAAGATAACGACAGTACGTGCTGGAGATGCCAAAAGATTAAGCAAATTTTTTGCATATGTTAGTTGACATAGAAGCAAAACCTGCTAGAAGAACAGTATCAACATGCTCCCATACCAGAAAATGACAATTCTTGCTGAGCAGTAATGCTTACACTAAAAGAGAAGTATCATAACATCTCAGTTACTTGAACTTAAAGTAAAACGATATAAATGACAAGTCTTAAACATAACAAAATTTCTATAAGAGATATTAGATTTTTTTTTCCAATTTAGTCATCACAACTAATTTCAGTTTCAAGATCCCTACACCTGGTTAGCAATTAGCATCATAATTTCTTTTTTATTCTAAAAGATCAGGTATCATCCAATTTGATAGGAAAGCAGGTATTTAATATTCAAGTTATTTCTTATGTACTAGTCTCCCATTTAAAGAAAACTGCAAGATGCTCAAGAAAATCATGGAGAAGAATTTTATTCTGTACACTTGATAATATATTTAAAAGCAAAATCATATCTATAATCTAGTTTTAAACTTTGTCACTCATCTTAGATTTCATCTTATAGTTTCTTGTTCTACAACCATCCAAATTGTAAAGGTTTAAAATTGCTTCTAAATGAAGAACATGCCCCTTCAATCCACTAAAATAAAATAATAAAAAAAGAAAAATATTAATTACTTAAAGACTAAAAGGGATCAAACTTCCACCACAGGCAAAGAACAACAGAAAGACATGGTTTAGTATTGGGTTTAAAGACTCTGGAACTTAAAAAGCTTTAGGAGGATTAAAAGAAAGTAAATGGTTCTTTTATACTTTTGAGAAGTATGGTTCTAAGGAAGAAGAATAGGTTACACTTTTAAAAATGGATAATTCACTATGATGAGTGGAAAGCTCTTATATATTCCACATTGTCACTTTAAATCAACTCGAGGGACAGCATGAATATGTTCTTAGGAAAGAATCAAGGAACTACTCTGCCAATCCTAAAGATTTATGGAATAATATGCAAAATGCGCTAGAATTTTGCACTTCTAAACTGCAGCAATTTATAACCACATTGTTAAATGTCAAAATGTTTCCTGAAGTTCCTCTCCTAAATTGCTAGCGATACTTCCATGGTAGCAGTAACATAAGGATTCCTCCCGCCTGTATGAGGAAATGGAGCAGAGTACAAAGCAAATGCAATTCTTGGAGGTTTTCTACCAGTAAATTTAACAATGAGAACCAACTTAACCTTTTTTATTTCATCATTGAATTTCTGAAGAGATTCTTTAGCATTGCGCCTACCAAAAAGTTGTTGATCTAGCAGCTTTTTCGCTTCGGCCTTTGACACCTCATGAGCCAACTGCAGCTTGTTCTCTGGTACAGGTAGCTGCAACTTGGACATCCCTTGACTGTATAACTTCAAGCAGCGTTCAAGAATTGCCTTATTAAATACTTCCACAATTGAACCTGTAGATGGAATTTCACCTTTATTCAAGGCATCAAGAGTCTGCAAAAACCCATGTATATAATGGTAAGAGATATGGAAGCCTACAAGTATAAAAGACTGTGTCCAGTTTCAGTTTTGCAAGTAAAAACTGCATACATCATAAGTAACAATAATACCAGATGGATAGTTGATTAGGAGCACAAAGACATGCAAAAGCACCTGCTTCAGGAAAGCTATGAACTCCTTTCCATTTAGAGTTTTCCCCTGCACAATCTTGGGACGTATAATGGATGCAACAAGTTGTTTAAAATGCTCCCTGTTTTGCACATACAATGGATCCAGTTCAGTGTCCTTCATGTCACAAAGTTTTGTCCTTTGGAGATGAGGCTGCCATAATTTTCAAGGATTCTGATAAGGAACATAGGAAATTAAGTGCATGATACAAATATTTCAATGATTAACTCATATATAAACAAATAACAGGTGACTTCTGAGTGCATTCTGCATAGCACACCAATGATGGGGGTTTTGACATTCTACTAATGGGATTATGAGCTTATATAATACCAACTTCAGATGTGTACCCAATTGAAAAAAGAAAACATAAATAAATAAAGAAATTTCGAGTCCCAACCATTGAAAAGACACAATCAACCATGAAGCTTGGATGCTCCAAATCACGTCAAGTCCATTAGAGTACTTGTTTGAATACTGATGCTTGTCAGATATTTCCTGATATAAGCACTAGATATCCTGCTAAGATGTTGTATTTCAAAGAGGGAGTTTTTAACTATTTTGTTGCATCTCTATGCAGAATTTTTTAAAGAACACTCAATAATTTCTGGTGCTCTCAAGCAGATATTATATTCTGCTGTTACTGAGGGCCATCACATCTATTAACTTACAACATTGCTTGAATCACTTTTTTTTTCCAAAAAGAAGAAGATTATATTATGATCTCAAAAGTCTGGAATGAAAAAACCCTCTGCATCAGAGGTAACAAAATTACACAATTCAGGATGAAGATTTCCCTGCCACCAAAAGGTGGACTTGGATGTCCTAGAAAACTGCACAATCCAGTTTGCTGCGCTGTTTGCTTCTCTGAAGAGTGAAGATATTTTTGAAGGTGACTGCTTCAAACTTCTCAGACAGAATCTGAATGTCTTTGCACAAGTTGAAAAGCTTCCAGAGTGGAAAGTGATTTTCCAACAAGTGCTTATGTATCTTGGTGAGCCTTTTTGCATATAAGAATGAGGGCATTTGTATACAAATTAGGACATTTGTATCTGGAGATGAGGCTGCCATAAATTTCAAAGCTCAGCTACTGCTTGAATCACTTAAAGCATGATACCTTATGTATTAGAGCGACAACTAAAGTAGTGTTAGTTATACACATAATTATAAAAAAATTCATGCTAAAATATTGTTTTCGTTTTGAACTTTAGATCTTGTTGCTTGCTGAAAGATGGAAACTACAAACCATAAAGCATATTGGGGCTTGGACTACATTCAGTGCATTTGCAGCCTAACAGGTATCTCACAATCAGATTTACTATGAATGACTTCTGTACAACTGGAAACAATTTCCATGCCCGGCAGCACTTATGCATGTTAAGCCTAGTTAGAAGGTCAATCAGCAATGAATGATATGATAATTATGTAAATAAATTGGCAAGTTTTTATGGGCTGTAGTCTTCCATAGCAAATCACATTTTTTGCATAATTTTATAGTTGTTAGAGATCTTATTTCCTAATAGCTTAAAAATGTTCCGAAAAAATGGCTATCCAACTAAAGCATAGAACCATATCTGGAAAAAATATTAGGTGAAAGATTAAAGGTGTTAAAAGGGGTAGAGAGACCAGATACCATTGCCTTTGCCTTGGATCCACTTGTCAACCCCATTAATCCTTTATTCGAATATCTTAAACATGAAGGAACACGTTAGAGCTTATGTATCATGGTGAGCCCTTTTGTAACAAACAAAGCTTTTGGAAAGTGATTTTCCAACGAATTGTTGAATCAGTTGTAATGTTGGAGTTTAGAAGGTGGCACATATGGATGAACTGACAGTTCTACTCTATTCTTTTCTCAGGATTAGATGCCTATAAAAAAATTTCAGACTGGGGGTTGTTGCATTATTGCATTAGGAAAAGAACATTATGACTAATATCAGACATAAATAAGTCTAACAATACTGCATAAATAAGTTTGATGATACCGTATTCAAAATTAAATAAGACAAATCTGGACTTAAGCAGATCAGAGAAAGAAACCTCAAATTAAACAACCATAATTGGTTTCTTGATATTGTCCTAGATAATGTTTGTTGAACACAGTCCATCTTCCATCAGCAATAATAAAATCAGGCCAGAACACTGAATTAGCAAACTTTGACTATGAGAAAAGGGAGATTTACATTCAAAGAATTATGCAAAGACTCTGAATCTCAACTCACATAATCATTGACATGGAATTAACAACATATATACTGCCAAGGGAAGCTAACAAAGCAATACCTGTGGCAAGCCAAAAGCAGAGATATTGTTGGCCATTCTTGCCAAAGACTTGCGAATTTTGTTGACCTGATTCACCAAACAAGAATAGTTATTTTTTTCAAAGCAAAGATGGGGGAACCCATCAATCTCTACTTAATTAAGAATGAAATTGATTTTAGAAAGAAACCCCAGAGGCATTGAGAAGAAGCATAAGCACAGCAAATAAAGATATTGTTTGTTAATGTATTGATTTTCACATGGTGATTAAATACAATACCTGATCAATGTTCTTATCTCCTGCAATAACAAAAATATTCTTGGGTAAATTCATATGACATTAGAAACATCAAATGCACATGAAACTAGTACTAAATCAGACTGACCACTTTTATTTGGAACTGGCCTAAGTCCTTCGTTCACCATTTCTTGAACAGAACTCCCTTCTATTTGATTGAAATCAACAGTTTTGATGAATAGAAAAATTAAGAATATAGGTAATATTCCAATGCATAGTTATATAGTTAACAAAAAGAGAAAAGGTTTACAATATATAGAATGGAATGGATGTGGGACTGCTACTTTACTGAACAGAAGTGATATAGGTGGTTTGGCTTATATAGTAGAAGTGGTTTAAGCTGGGCATTATCTCTTTAGAAAAAGAAAAGGATAGAGACCTTGAATATTACCACCATACCAATAGCTATACAAACACATTTGAGAAAAGAAAATGTGTTTGAATCCCAATAAACAGGAATAATAAACTAATTCATTGATTCTGCAAACTTAATCTCTTTAAATTGTTTCTTGATTTGTTGTCATAGACAATTTTTTCTACAGTTCCGTCTTATCCTACCCCTAGCAAAGTTGCTCTCTGGGAGTCATCAAGGTTCATGCTCAAACTTCAAATGTTTTTATTGCTTGGATCAGCATCAGTGATTTAATTTGATTGGAAATTATGCATATGTTTTTTTTCATATAATGAAATTTTGCGACCAAGAATTAGTGATTGTCTTTTAGGGACTTTATCCACCAAAAGATCTATGAAATTCAGACAGTCTTTTAGTATTATGATTTCCACTATCTGCTAGGGTGATTAGACAATTTGTTGACCCTTTGTAGATATTTTTCTAATTAACCAATCATGGACCATTGGCATCATTTATACTGCAAATATGTTATCAATGCACAATTTATTCCCAACATCTAAGGAGGAAAGCATCAACTTACGCAGATAATCTCGTTGGATAAGCCACAAGAGCTTAGCAGGCTCAAACACAACATCTTTCCCCTATACAAGTGGCAAAGACCATAAATGACACCAAGAAGATAAATATCATTCTATAGCAACAAGTGTTACCAATACATTACCTTCATTCTGAGCTCCATAAAGTAACATATGAGCAAACCCAAAGTGGTCAGATAGGAAAAAATAAACAAAATTAGTTCCAGTGAAGGGTTCTGACAATAACATAATTCTTCAAAAACAGACCTCCCATAGAATTCTTCTGCAATTTCAACAGCAAATGATAGCCGAGATATATCTGCCTCACGAACCTACAATATGATCCACGAAAACCAAGAAAATTAGGCCATCTGAACATTATCTTATAAACTTAGTAGTTATATAGGCTGATGAACTTTACACCAGATAGAAAACAAACCGTCTCTGGTAGATTATAAATAAGCACAGAACTGATCAGTGTCGCCAGAGCAAAGATCCTGCAATTGAATATTAACGGATTAGAGAAAAAATAAAAGGAAACAAACCTGCTTTCGAAAGCAAAATTCGTTGGCCGAATTTCCAATATTACCTATCATCGTATACATTTGATTTCCTCACATTTTCAAATCCTTCAGTATCAAGGTACAGGACGGATACTTTTGATCCATCAATGACCACTTCTACTGGGATACCCCAAACCCACAAACCTACATCAAAACACGCCTGCTTAGCAAAGAAATGAATTCTAACTGAAGAAGAAGACGGCATACATCGATGGATACAGAAAAACAAGCACAAAAGGGAATCAATGCATCTCAAACCTTTGGTTTTAGCATGACGCATGTGCCCAACTTCAAAACCTGCACATGAGAAGTGCTCGCGGGATGAGAAGAGATGAGTGATTCGTCGAAGGGAGAGAGACGAGAATCGCACCTTCATTGCAAGGGAGGGAGAGGAGCTGGTTGAGAAGGAAGGATTTGCCTGAGCGGTATGGGCCGATCACCTGCGATTACAAATCATGGTTAGGGGAACCCAAAAAGATCTTAGACAAACGACGCCCATTGCGAACTGAATCAACGCAACCGTAAGAGTTGCTTTCCGATTTATACCCGTCACACACAAAGTCACAAACACGTTAAGTGAATCCGATGGGCCAAAAACTGGTAAGAACCGATACCAATCAAGAAAGCCAATATTATACTAAATTTTGAATTAGACCATGGATGATAAAACTGAACCGATAAGCGACCCGATCAAGTTTCGGATCCTTGGGGGCACTAATCGGATCTGTGGGCAACTGGTCTGACCACTTGTTTAGTTAGAAAATAATTTGGGATGTACAAAATAATTCAAAATTATATGTAATAAAAATATAAAATTAATAAAAGTAAACAATCATATACAAACGAAAATAAAATCTCAATAGTATTATTTAAGATAAAATTAATAAGTATGATTTTTCTTAAAAAAATTCTCTTTTTGAACTTTTACAAAAGGTGTTTAAATTTTTAGTTGTAACATTTGATACCCCTTATTTTATATAATACACATGATACTCGTTGTTACCTTCATCTCACTATAAGATTTTACCACAATAACTTGTCATCTTTTAGTGGCCACCTTTGTCTCATTGCAAAGCCCCTCCAGGCTTCAACTTTGTTCTTGGGATTTTCTATCCTTGATATTGACTAGTACTCTAATTTTGTAACTATTGTCCTCTTCAACTTTCATTAATGGAGCTACCTTGACTAAAATACGGAGGGTGATGAGAAGTCATCAACATCCATAATGTTTGCATCGATGAGAAGTCAAGCAAGGATATGGTTAATGTTAGTGAGAGGAGGGTATTGATGGTAAAGTCATCGTCATCTTCGTCAAAATAAATGGATATGAGGCAATGGAAGTTGACAATAGAGGCGTCAACAACGATAAGAGTAAGGGCCTTGTGATGATGTCTTAACAGTAACAAATAAGAGCGAACCGAAGACAATGGACGAGGATGCGATAGTAATGGCAAACGATAGTCTTAGTAGTGATAACATAGACAAAGGTAAAGGTAGAGACAATGGGACGATGAGAGATATTTTGGATATTAGAGAAAAAGATTATCAAATAAAAAACTAAAAATTAAGAGTACCTTCCAGGAACAATCCAAAAAAGAGTACCAACATCATAAAAATTATGAAAGTGAAATGCAATTCAATTACTTAAATAAGAATATTATTATGAATGTAAGATATATAATTGTTAGGTATGTAACGAAAGTTAAGGTAAAACTTATGTTAATAAAACAAAATATAACAAGAAGATGAAGGATTGATATGAATGTAAGACACATGTATAATGAAAGTTAAAGTGAAACTTGTGCTAATAAAATAAAGTATAATAAGAAAAAATGAGATGACCTTAGGAAGAAGAGACCGAGAGAAGTGGAGCGGATCATTGATGGATGGACGATACCCTGAATAGAAGATGTGGAGAGCATGAGCGAGAGGAGGTGAAAGAAGAAACACAAGAGGGTAGACACAAAGAACAGCAGTGGAGGAAGATAAATAGGCGGAGGGGAGAGGAAAGAAGAGAATCAATCAGATGAAATTACTTACCAAATTCAAAATTGACATAAATATCTAATAAAATAAATAACAGAAAAAATCAAGTTAAGAATAAAGTGACCAATTACCGATATGGTACAGCTCTCATCATGGATGTATAGAAATTTTCTGTTTAATGTATATACTTGTGTAAAGAGACCAAATGCAGGACTTACTGCAACAGCAGCTACTGGGGTTGTGATATCTTGAATTGCCTGGAGACCTTCTCTCGCAAGACGGAGTCTGATGTGATCTGGATCTGACTGCAATATAGGAAACCTGCAACATATGCATCAAGTTAAGCCACCAAGAGAGAGAGAAACCAAGAGAGCAATCAATCCAAGAGGCATCATTTTTCTTACTGCAAGGGAAAAAAGAATTTATAGACTTATGTATGCATGTTTTGTGTAAGATCAAAAGATTTGCAGATTAGTCAGCGAGGTGGAAGATGAGTTTTATGAAGAAGAAGAAGAAGTCAGCAAGAACCAGCTTCTAGCAGTAAGGAAGAATCCAATGGGAAAACGATGCGTCATGGGACATCAACTTTGTCATGGGATTCTTTCCTTTTGTTTTTATTTGTATTTGAACTGAACGAAGACTCATCGAAGAGTTGGTCAACACCCAACTTGAGGCTTAGAAAAGCTGAGCTCTGCATGCAGCTGACAGAAAAACCACATACAAGAGGATGTGATGCTTCAAGAAAAAGAAAGATCAGAAAGAGGCAATCATCATAATCATGAGCTTGCGCTCGTTTCTGCGCTATGACTAATGATGCGCAACTTCTACCATGGATCAAGGATCATCCTTTCATGGCACAGGGATGTGTCGATACCTTGTTGACAAGACACAGGACGAAGGAGAAGATGGAACTTACGCTCGGCGGTAATACTTTGATCCAGAAGAAGAAGAAGAAGAAGCAATAGATGCGAAGCAGCAGCCCAGAATCACCGCCCAGAACCCTGACACTGTCGAAGAAGCACCCATTTCGTCTCTCTGCTGCAGCTCCCAAGGGATCAAACGGAGGAGCTACCTCTATGATGTGACAGAGAGAGAGACAACGAAGGAAGGAGGAGAGAAGCATCTCCCACTCCACTCACAGCCCAGCAACTGTGCAAAAACTAGTCAACGCTTGTTTTTTAGAACAAAACCTTGTCACATCTTATCGTCCAGAAAACATAAGGTTGTTCATGGTCAAAGGAGCATTTAAATTGTCTTCTCCGTGTATTGTGGATCTTGTTTAGCAACTCTCAAATGGTATCATGATTTAAATTGTCTTTTCCATGGATTTTATTTACCATGCATGCGGATCTTGCATATATTACAATGGCATCATGGTTGCTAGTAAGAAAGGGTGACTGCACATGAATACAAATAAGGCAAAGGAAGGTTTACATATTTAACGTATTTCCCACTATATATATATATATAAAATATCTCTCATTACCATTCATCCAAAACTTTGATATCTAGTTTGAGCTAAAAATATTTAAAGAATTTAATATTCATATTAATTCTTTAAATATTTATATTTAAAGAATTCAATATTCATCTTCGTTAGCCCAAAGCCAACGGGAAGGGCCCAAGGAGGACTATACCTCCTTGGGCGACTGACCACTTGTAATCGATTGAGTTCAGGGGACTACTTATTGACATAGTATTAGACCAAATTTATGACACTTGTGGCATTTTTAGGTATAGACCATCACATCTTTACATGGTATGGGCCAGTAAAACTCCTATCAAAGTAACTTGAAGGCAAGAGTTTGCTCGCTATGTACTTTCCACTAATACCTTCATGCACCTCGACAAGCATCGCTCACCCTCTTGGGGAGTCAAGCATCTAAGGAGTTTTATGAAATACTATGCTTGGTGATGCTTGACTCCCAACTTGTGTTATAGGTGATCATTGATTATGAAATACCATACTTGGTGATGCTTGACTCTTCGGGCCACTATAGGGTCAATTGGGAGTGTCTCATCTTTCTTATAGTGTCGGATCTCATCCATCCGGCTGTGTTCCTCCTCGATCATAGTCACATTGAGCTTTTCAATAGTTCGGGTGGATAGCATCTCAACTAATGGTTAGAGTCTAGGTAGATGTCAATTGGGCATCTGCTTAGGTATTTTTTTTATGGAAAACTCGAAACATATAGAGTCGAGAGAAGCTTAGCTAATCTTTGCACCTTTGTGATGTATTTTATCATGGTCATACCTCGGGCTTCGTAGTTCCCTTCCACTGGGCTCATGACTAGTTGTGAGTCACTAAATACTATCAAATCTTGAACTTGGAGTTCTTGAGTGCGTTAGAGTCCTAAGAGGAGTGCCTTATACTCGGCTTTATTGTTGAAAATTTTGAACTTGAATTAAAGTGCTTTCTCATACACTTATTGGTTCCAGCCTTCCAAGACAAGGTCGACATTGCCTCTCGCTGAAGTGGCTAAGCCATTAACAAATAATGTCTATGTCGTGGGGGTATGGTTGTCATCTTTAGGTAGGGGAGTTAGCTCCAAGATAAAATCTACTAATGCTTGGGCTTTTTTAGTAGCCCTCGGCATATACGATATGTTAAACTCGCTTGACTCTATAGATAATTTCAATAGTCACCCTGAGACATTAAACCTAGACAGAACTTGTTTGAGTGGCTAGTTGATGATGACCTATATAACATGCACTTGAAAGTATGGGCGAAACTTTCTTATCGCGAGCACTAGTGCAAATGCTAATTGTTCAATAACCAAGTATTGCTCCTTGGGCCCACTCAGGACGTAACTGACATAGTAAGTATGCTTTTGAATTCTCGCATCATCTTGAACTAGCATAGAGCTAACAACTAAGTCGATGATAGCAAGGTAGAGACCGAGGGGTTCTCGCAAGATGAAGAGAGTTGTGATAGTTGGGCGAGATAGTAATTTAGTCTTTTGAAAGCCTCCTGGCACTCCTGTGTCCATAAGAAACCCTTTATATTATTTAGAGCATGAAAGAATGGCCGGTACTTGTTATCTAATTAGGATAGGAAACGACTCAGTATTGCTATTTGCCCCATTAGCTATTGGACTTCTTTGGCCAATTGAGATGGATGCATTTCCAATATAGTTTATATCATTTTGGGGTTTGCATCTATTCCTCTCTAGTGCATGACAAACCTAAGGAACTTTCCTGAACTGACTCTGAAAGTATATTTAGTCATATTAAAGTATATGTTGTGCCTTTTTAAAGACTTGGAATGTCTTAGTCGGGTCTACCAAATGCGAGTCGATCATTTTGCCCTTAACTATCATATTGTCTATGTATACTTTGATATTACTCCCGATTTAGTAGTTGAATATTTTATTCACCATCTTTTGGTATGTTGCCTCTTTGTTCTTCAACCCGAATGACATGATTCAATAGTAGTACATGCCTCGATTGGTGATGAAGGACATGTGTTCTCATTATCTAATTATACTCCAAGAATGCATCTATAAGGTGAGAAGCTCATGACTCGAGATGATATCGATTAGTTGATCAATATGAGGGAGTGGATAGCTATCTTTCGGATACACCTTATTAAGATCGATGTAGTCAACCCACGTTATAAGCACAAAATTTGTGAGCCACTGTGGATATAATGTTTGATTGGTCGTACCGCTAGTTTATGTTAGGATCATAAGCAATGCTGAAAAAGAGTCCTATTGTTTCCTAATAAGTGACTAGAACATCGATTGAAATCTAAAAATATATATTTTTGATGTTTTACAGATATCAAGCTGGTCAGAAATTATTAGAACTCATTGAAAAGTGACTGATCCACATGCAACATCAAAGGCAAGAACTGCACAAGACCATTCTGGAAACATGGGATATGGAAAGGCTTTAGGTATCTGATTGAACAATGTCGTAGGTCTCAAGAAGAAGAAGAAGAACAAGAAGAGGCAGAAGTAGATTAAATTTATTCTAGAATATCTTTAAACAATGATCGATAAAGATGAACATCTATTTCCAATCATCTACCAGCATCCTATGTGAGCATGAGATATGAGGAGAATAATGTTGTGTGAGTCTATATCTTAGGTGAATCTATATCCGAATAAAGATCATTATGTGAGCATCAGATATAAAAAGACTTTATCTGCTTGAACGATGTTGTAGGGGTGAAGAAGAAGAATAAGAAGAAAAGAGAAACTCATTCTGGAGTATGTTTGGGCATTGATTGATGAAGATGGATATATATTTCTAATCCTCTACCTGTAGCTATATCAGTATGAGATATCAAAAGACTTTATCTCTTCTGTCTCACCAACACAAACAGCTTAGTATTTCGTTTAGATCCATTTGTGTTAGTGAAAACTTACTCCGGTGTTGCTGTTCCGACACAGTAAAAGCATGGAGAGCAGCAGCAGATCGATGGACGAGTTTGATGAACACAAACTCCAAACTGGTGTTAGATTTCTGATCTCATGTATCTCCAGTAGACTTAGATGTGGCCTTGCTGGATGAATGGGGTCATGCCCTGTTCTCGAACCAAGGAAGGGGGAGCAACCACAAATCTTATAGACACCAATCCAAGTTGATCTGCTCTTGCAGATCACGACTTGGATGGGACACCATGAGTCGATTCAGATCACATGAACAACGTAACATGAGTTTGCCTACATGGCTGGAATCGAAGGCACAAAGCCAATCTTTTTGCAGGCAAATATAAAGCTCCGAAACCCGTAAAGCTTACGCGTCCAACATACGAATCCATCATATAAATGCATGTCGGATCCGGGTTTCGGATTCGTGGAGCCCGTCTACACTCCGAACTCCCACAGGTGTGGCGTCGGGAGTGCGTGGCAAAGGAAGTCAATGCCGACGCGTCAAAGCTCGAGGAAAGCGCGTGTCACGTGCGGCGTCGCCTGTCCCTGTCAGCGGCGATCTCGTACCACGCACCCAAGTCAAAGCCGCGGATCTGCCCAGGGTAAAAGTAGTTGCAGCGAAATGACCATTCTGTCCCGTATCCACAGTGCTATATACACATTATACCCTTCTGGTAATACGGATAAATAGAAGGCTTTAATGATCTTTTTAAAGGAATTTACGTTGATTTTTTTTTAATGCTACGACAGAGGCGAATTAAGATACGAACAATTTAACAGCTTGCATAAATAAATCGCCTGATTCACATCCCCAAGAAACACAAATCGTATATCAATCGTGCTTTGAGATGCGTGCAAAAGATCTGATCTGAAATTATTAACCCTGTATTAATAATCTTAGAAAGAAATAAAAATCCAAACTAATCCAAGATGTGGTTTCCATTTTCTCGGTCTGATCAACCGATTCGATTGGAATTGCATAACTATGATAAAGAATAGATGATGCACTCCAAAATTTTCATCATGCAGATTTGTAGGACAGCGATAGCCATATGGTTAGTCTAAACAAAATCAAACTTGGAGAGCATGGCGTTCAAAAGTCTGGCATTTATGTCAAACACCTCGTCATCAAGGCTTGGACTTGTGCTGCTTCTTCCCTTCACTTCCTGTCTTCTCGATGTCCAACCTCCAGCTGTTTCACAGCTGGACCGTAAGAAGGACAGCCTCTAAACAAAGAGAGAGATGTCTGAGGGGAAACAATTGAGCATAGGATTTAAAACGATGAAGGATTCTTCTTGGAGGGGAAGAAGGGGACAGAGGGAAGCTGCCAAAGAGTGGCCACTGAACAAGACCCAGTGCTTAGCATTAGATATAATCCATTGCTTGTCCTTTCTTAATCTTTTGGATTCAATCGTCAAAAAGATTATATCTCTGGCTTATTGATTGCTATTCAATTGCAGGGAAGTCAAAGCCACATTGAAGTTCTGAGCAGTGCCTCGCCATTGCCATCTGGCCTATAAAATGGTCAGCATACGCTGTCGGCTCTTTCCATCTCACTCCGCCAGCCAAAACCCAGCAGGACTTCTCCGCTCTTTCTCTTGTTGCTGTAGAGAGTTTTGACATGGATATCCTCACAGACGAGCAGATTATTGAGTTCCAAGAAGCTTTCTGCCTCTTTGACAAAGATGGAGATGGTTTACTTCTCTCTCTCTCTCTCTCTTTTCTTTGATTGGGTTGGGAATAGTGTGTGTTATATGTGTATTGAGTTTGAAGTAAAGCGATTTTATTTATTGTTTGTGTTAATACTATAACTTTGTTTGGGTTCTTATTCTTGGGCTAAGCAGTTGGAATATATTGATTTTATTGTGGTTCAGCATTTTTGTGTTTTATTAATTGATTCATCATTCATCTATTTTCTTCATCTCAACATATTAATTTGATTACTCATTCTCATAATCTTTCCTACATCCTAAATGGTTTGAGGTTGTGTCCGATTTTTGGATCCTCTTGTCCATATCTTCTTTCTTGTCTCCTACTTGAATCAAACCGATTAAATTATGTATGATTTTTTTATGCTCCCCCATTGTAAAATAAATATTGAAAATATATAATATAATTTATTTTAGAATTTCACATAAATTATTGAAAATACTGAAAATTCCAGCCACCTCTTTTTTTTTTCTTCTTCTTCTTCTTTTTATTTGCTTGGAGTCTTTTGCTTAGACATGAGAAGAGATTATCTATCTTCATTTCTTTAGTTGTTGTGTTTAATCTGCTTCTAAATGTAAATGTTCTCTTTTACCTTTGATTGGTTTCACAGGATGCATCACACTGGAAGAGCTAGGCACAGTCATCAAATCATTGGGTCAAGACCCAAGTGAAGAAGAGCTGCAGGAAATGATCAGGGAAGTTGATTCGGATGGCAATGGAACTATAGAGTTTGGGGAGTTTTTGAATCTAATGGCCAGAAAAGTGAAGGTAAATGTCTGAGGTCAACCACCCACCAAGTCTCAGCCTATATGATCTCTCGATAATGTTCCACCCTCTGCAGGAGACTAATATAGAGGAAGAACTCAAAGAAGCTTTCAAGGTCTTTGACAAAGATCAAAATGGCTTTATCTCAGCTACTGAGGTGAACTTATTAAAGACACTTTTCTGTCTTCTCTTCTGCATGCTTTCCATTAATTACTTCTTCTTGTGCTCGAATGATCACCAAGAATTTACTTTTTGAATCTATCTTCTCCATTCTACTGATCATAGACAGTTGTTGCAGCTGAGGAATGTGATGATAAACCTTGGGGAGAAGTTGACTGATGAAGAGGTGGATCAAATGATTAGAGAGGCTGATCTGGATGGAGATGGGCAGGTGAATTATGAGGAATTTGTGAGAATGATGATGGCTGTCTGATTCATCTGTTCAAATGGAACATTTTGGATGATGCACATCTGAATTCCCAGGCCCTGTTTCAAGAAACCACAGCTTGTTAATGTTCTTTTGTTCCAGTAGCAAATATAATCCTAAATGCTAATTTTTTCTTCCAAATTGTGTCCAACAAAGTGAACCTACCTTCTGATCTGATTTAAGAATCTGATACATCTTTGATCAAGTGAGATTGTGCAAGAAAAGTATGTACAAGAGGAGAAGCTGACAGAATTACAAACAAAAGTTACCATCATTCATTCTCATATTGATCTACTTTTCCTGGTTTTATATTTATGATCAAAGCTTTTTTACATGATCCTGAGAAACAAATGAAAGAACATGGGGATGTTACCAGCATGTCTACTGTACACTTCAACAAATCTTTTAAACTGCATTGGAAGCTCAATCTACAGAGCAAATATCCTTGAAAGAGCATATCCATCACATCCACTGTATTGTAGCATAACATAAATGTATGAACTGTATGGAATGATTGAATCAACTAATGTAACATGTGGCACAATAGTTCATAGTGCAAATCTGTTCTAACAATAGGAGTACAAACTGGAGGAAATTGGAACATGAACAAATCTTTATCAGGATATCAGCAACTTTTTGCTGATAACAAACAACCCTTGACTTTTTCCCAAATACTATAAACCAGTCCACAGCAATCAAACTCAGATCAAAAGTGGGCAAGTTGAATTTTAGGAACATCCACATCTCCTAGTCCTTGCAACAGGAAACTGATATTTATTTTCATGTACAAGGCTTGAGTTTATAGCCCATTAGGTTCTTGATTCCTGTACTTATATGAAGAACAAATGCAGTAAATCATTTTTTTTAATCTTGACTATGCTGGAAGGAAACTATATTTCCTATTCCATGGAATAATAACTTCTATCCCAGACTATAAACAGAATCCACACCCAAATTGATTTATCATTTTCTGATGGATCATCCTATTAGTCCAAATGTTTCTTTTTTCCACTTCTTGAAAGAAATTTTTGTCATTGAATAGTACAGTACAGAACGAGGAAAAAAAAGGTCAACATGATACAGGGAATACAAGAAAGTCTTGGCAAAATACTAATGCTTAAAAGATGGTTAATGCTCTGCAAAACAAAAAAAATGCAGAGATTACAGCACCACATTCTACATCTTTTTCCAAAAATTAACTAAACCTGTTGGCCAAAGTTGGACCATAATTACTTGATCCAATCTTTGGTGCAAAAGTTCAGTTCTGAACAAATCAATTGCAGTCATGATCAGAAACCAGCATAGTATCAGTTGAAGGTTCATATATGTCAACTATTAGCTGTAAGGAAAGTGATTCTTCATTCTGACTCCTAATGCTGAAGTGAATGGTCATGGCTGTGTGCTGCAACAAAACTTCTCTGCAGAAGAATGCACACATTGACTTTTGGTGTGATCTGGAGTAGGTTTTGGAAGAATTTCAGGTCATTTTCACTCGTTGAAACTTGGGTTACATGGAGACCTCTTTTGCAAAGGAGATTAAATGCTTTCTACCCCTTAATTTTCTTCAGTATTAACTTAAGATAGATTAACCTTAAGCTAATACTAATAGCACGGGTTTGGGACAATTAATGATAGGAAAAGAGATTCTCATGTTGGGGCTGAAACAAATTTAGGTACCTAAAGAAATAGTCAGTTCGAAAAAAGATTGGGTGATACTGATATCCATTGTTACTCCTAGGAAGAGGCAGATTGGTTTTTTTCTGAACTTGTGCCTCTTTGATCCATTGATAAGGATGTTCGTTAATCAAATTTGGGCCAAATATCTATAAGAAAATAGATTATAACAGTAGTATCACATGTACAGTTTTGAGTGTCAGCATATTTTAAAAGACTATATATATAGACCATGTTTTAATACAGACCATATCTTCAGTGGAGCAATTATCTGAGAACTATTGGAGTCATACAAGAGTACTGAGATGAGAAGCCAAACAGATGGTTTCCAAAAGACTAACAATATAGTTATGTTCCAGAGATCAAAACGGAACCAATCAAGTTTTCTACTCCTTTTACCAACTTGCTTTCAAAACATAAATTAAAACAACCTCTGCGACAAGAACTATGGCAGGGAAAACTTGAAACAAAAAATAAATAACTACCAGCAAAAGTTAGTGATGGTACATAAACAATGTCGAAGAATAAAATGAAGGCTCAATGAAGTCTAGACCCTGTTATATGCCACTGATCGATTGAAAAGGCGTCGGATGTAAACAACCTGAAGTCCACTAGCACAAGCCAGCACCAAGTACTCCATAACTGTATAGAATGTAAGGCGCTTTCTTGTGCTCTCATTTGCTGCATTGGAAGTGAAAATTAGAAAAAGTGAAATAAATATGCAGCACTTATTGCATTAAGGGATTAAAATCTCCAAGATTCCAGCTAAATACACAAGCAATTATGACTTTGGAAGATAAAAAATCTCTCCATCTAAGATCATAATTAACAACCTCTTAGATTAGTTCCAATTACATTATTACATGCATGATTTAGAAAATTAATAAAACCATGATTTGAGTACCACATCTAAACATGATAAAATTATATAATGTTTAGTCTTGACTGCAATCTACTATATCCTTTAAGCCCATCAAAGGATCAAATGAAAATAAGTTTCTTTTTGGATTCCTTGATGGAATAAAATCCTAGTGAACTCAAAAAGTTATTGGACAAACCAGAGGTGGGAAAGGCTCGAGCCTGGTCAGGTTGGATTGAGATAGGACAGCAAGCACATATAGGTTCGAGCCAAACCCAGCCCGACCCACCAACGAATAAACTGTATCTCTATATTTAGTCTCTCTAAATATATATTTAGAGTAAGGCTGCACAGTCTGAATTGTGCATTAGGGGGAGTACCACATATATAATTATGAAAATAATGATTAATGTTGATAATTTATAGTCAATGATTTAAAATATGTACCCAAAGGTGATTTTGAATGTTAAGAATAATCGAGTGAAAACAAATGGAAACAACAAAAAGAATTTTCTAGTTTTTTTTTTTTTTTGTTTACGTTACACTTTAGTTGTTTTTCAAGAGTGAAAACTATTCTCCAGAAAATGAGAATGAAAACTAAGAAAACAAATCCAGACTTTTCTCAGCTTGGTGTTTGAGAAATAAGATTTTTTTCTTGGAGAACAAAACCAAATGGGCAGATTATTGCCATAATACCATTTGGATCATTATTTTGATGAAAGAATGGCAACAAGTTTATAAAACATATTATAATGCATTAAATAATGCTCTCAAAACTAGAAACAACCAGTAGGCATTTCTTCTTTTGTTTTTGCAATAAATTTGTTTCTAAAGATTTCATAGGATTTTCCACTTTAAATTTTAATCTAAAATGATTAAGGTCTAAAAAACATATTTGCTTTATACACTAACAAACAACTGAAAAGCCTGAATAATTAAGAACTAGAAAGAATTCATAGCATTATTTTTCAATGTAAAAAAAAATTAACATACATGTATAATCAATTTCTCCATGGTCTAGTCAATCAAGTACATAAGTTGATGAATTAGCTTACTGTGGCGATGGCGAGCTTCACGTGCTTTTAAATAACGCTGTTCTGCTGTGACAGACTCTAATGCTTCCCTAAGCTGCGCAATTTTCACATTTATTGGATCCAGATGCTCTGCATGAGATTAGTTACAAGAACTTTTGTTAAATAATATAATAAATAAATAGAGTGCAGCAATTGTCACATACATGTGCATTGTCACCCTTTCTCTATGACAATATTTTAGGTTTTGCAAAAATGATGGAACTAAGGCAAAACTTTACCAATTTTATTATATTTTTTAGTTAGGCTTCTTCATTGTGAGCAACTATAAGATCGTTGGCGTTCAACTATAGATTAAGCAAACGATGTGTTTTACCTTCATCATAATTAAAAGAAAGGTAAAACCTCTGAAATTCCCCAAGTAAATTAGGTTGTAACCTCAATATCACCATTAGGTTCATTGAGACTAACCGTCTTTGGCTAGGTCATGTTCATTTGGAATATGGCCTACATGAATGTAAAAGGAGACAGTCTCTGGTGCTCTGTTTGCATTATGAAAACAAAACTTGTACATTCCAGCTCTTGGAGCCTTGAAGTCAAATTTGTCACCAGAAGTTCCCTTCATGGTATGCACAGTGTTACCAGCTGGAGACGTCACCTACATATTTCAATAATTAAAGACAGGTACCACAATGTTATCATAAAAAAAGTTAATAACAACAATGTCCATATTAAGATGAAGGCATGAATGCCAATAAAAGAAGGGTTCAATTAGTTGTTACAAGAAGATGTGAATTAATTTTTAACAGACTCAGCAAAATAAGAAACAGTTTCATCACCTTTTTTGCATCTTAAAATTTGAAGATCTTGAAATAGTGCTTCTTAATGTTTCTTTCACTCATAAATACTATATAAAACATAGCCAAGTATGGTGTATCATGCTCAAGAACAATTCAAGTTTCCCAGATAAGCATATAGACTATCATTTTACTTACGTGACTCAATTAGATAATAAAGTTCAACATTGATGCAGCAAACAACATAAAACATATAAGATAGATCAGAAACTCATAACAACATAAGACAACTTCAAGAAAAAGCTTACTCTTCACTTTTTACATTAGAATATAGTTCCTTTCCCCAAGAGAGAAACTAAAAGTGATTTTTTTTTTCCTTACTTTGTTTGTATTTATATTGCTCTTGTACTAATTTTACTCCATGATTGTTTTTGCTTTGTTTATGTTCCTACATTGCTGCTCTTACCTTTTCTTTTTTTTTTTCCTTGATATTTGCATTATAGCAGCAGCCTTCTTTCCTCTTCAAAGATGTAACCTCATCTTCATATTCATATATTTCGCAATGAACAGAGTGCTATACCATTTGAGCTAACATGTCCAAATTAACATTTTTGTTATATGGATAACAACAAATAGACAATTGTTGTGCTGTAATATGATTTAAGTATCTTTTAGCAACTGCCATCCTAAGTGTGCCATACTTGAATGAGGCAATGCTCCCTCTCAGTACTAGCACCTAGGCTCCAAGAGACCTTTACAATTTAGTACACAGAGACTTTGATAACTTTAGCTGTTGCCAGTAGAAGCAGATGTGCCAAACAATGGAAGACCGAATTCCAATGTTTAGTCACTCAGCCGAGACATAGGTATCGTGCACTCTTTTCAGGGGCTATTATTGATTGACCATGAGTCACTAGCTGATGCATCCCAATATAGGGACAAGGTATCAACTTTTATTAGTTATTTATGTTGTTATCTGATTTGAGGCTTATATTCATCCATATTTGGGATGATTCTTATGTTCAAATTTTTTATTGTTACTTTAGGTTTTATCTCTTATTTATTTGAAAAGATGTTTAGCTAGGATTTCTATCATTATCCTTACAAAGTTCTAGTTAAGATCCAACTGCAACAAGAAGATTAAGCCCTTATCTTATCCAATTTCTTAGTGGCAAATAAATGTTTTAGCTCTCCTATAAACAGTCTTGCATGGCTGAAATATATAAATGGAATAATGAAAATTCAGAAATGTTTCTTTAGGCTACATGGCCTTACTATCTTAGCTCCCAAATTCTAGACTTCTTTTTTTCATAATTTTTACCCCTCATCTTTCGACTCAATCTTATAAATTCACTGAACTTTAGTTAGTTGCCGCATCAACTTAATGCCCTATATTTGCTATATATTTTGTATATCAAATTAGAGCACAAAGATGGACTACCATGCATGATTACACCATGGAGGACTCGAAAGCAATACACTGGGTGAGGTAAATTCAAAATCTACTTAACGAAATGGACACACTTATCCTACAGACAAATTTGTTTTTAGCTGACATAAGGAACTACATTTAATGACTAATTAAATTAGTTTATTTTGACGTATAAACCAAAAATGGCTATGTATAGAATGAGTACCAAGAACAGCCTCCAAATATAGATTATTGCAAGTTCGCTCTGAAATATATAATCTTTAAATGTACAAGATTGTCATACAAAAAAAATTTGCTACCAAAGCTATCAGCATTTTTCCGACTTTGAACACAGCTACTGCAAACAAGAAAATAAATTTATTTTACCTCTAATTATAAGAAAGACAAGGTATACGTTCAGCATCGATGTCACATATTTAGCATACAATAAGAAAATAGCACATTTTCAGAATCAAAACAAAATCCAAATTATTGGGTCCGATTAACGAATTTCCAGCAGGAAAAGGAAAGATTTAGACTTTCTCTAGCGAGAGAAATCAGCTTAATGAAATACCCAAAGAATTTAATAGGAGAACAAAAACTGCAGCAGATTCCAGAAGTAGATCCAGATCCAGACCGCCTAATTCCGCCCTCCAATCAAAAAGAAAGAAATAAACCTTGGTCCGCAGACAAAGGGAATTGGCGTCACTTACGATGAGATCAATGCCGGGGTGATCAGAGCCCCAAAATATATCATGATCCACGACGACGAAATTGCCGGACACGGTATCGCCCTCGTAGGGGACGAACTCGTAGACGCACTCCAAGTCGTTCACCGTGACGGACAGAGCGGAGAGACGGCGAGGGCAGCTGAGGAGAAGCCCCACGATCAGAAAGACCTCCACGAGCCCGATCCATCTCTGCCTCTTCTCCATGAATCTCCAGACTCGATCCCCTGGGGTTCGAAGCACTCATGAACTTTGTAACAAGCTTTCCTACATATACAAGTTCATTATATATAACTCAAAACTTGAGGGTAAATATGTTATTTATGAAACTTTGCAAGGATTGGTATGTAAAAAGGAAAATAATTTCTCTATCTAAATTTTAACTATTTAATTTAATTTAATTTAATTTATCTATTCCCATTTTCTTCTTGCCGTTTTCTCTTCCTCCTCTCACTTCACCTCTACTATCTCATTTTCCTCCCACCACTACCTCCTCCCTCTACTACCTCAGTGTCACCTCTTCCTCCCTCTCCTTGTTAGCTTTCTCATCTTTACCTTTATCATTGGTTTCCTCTCTCTCTCTCTCTCTCTCTCTCTCTCTCCCTCTCTCTCTCTCCATCAGCCACTTCGCTCGTTCCCTCTTCTCTTTTTTTTTTTCTACTCCCCCTCTCCTCCGCCTCCTCCTCCTCCTCCTCACATTTTACTTAGATTAGGTTATACTAATTTACAGAACATATTAAAAAAATATTTAATTTTAATATAAAATATTTTTATTTAAAAATTAATCATCCTAAATTTAAATAAAAATAAAAAGTTATATGAAACATATTAACTATCAAGTGCTTACTAAAATGTCTGTTCGTGGAATCGCAAGTTAAACATTTTCAATAAGAGGTTTTAAAAAGGGTAATCCTTTAGAGATTGATATAAAATCCAACTGAGTCTATAACTCGTATTCTCTTTTACAAGTCAGTAAGGGACCATAAGAGGTTTCAAAAAGAGTGATGCTTTACATACTAATATAAAATCTAACTAAATCTATAACACCTTAGTTAACTTTTTTTTAATAAATTACCCATTTATACTTGTAACCTTTTTTTGCTATTTACAATCATATTAAGAACTTTTAATATTGCTAAGAGATCCTTATAAATAAACATATATATCCTTATCATCTTTTTAATTTTCTTTATACCCTTGTCGTCTTTTCCTTTTTCCTCTCAATCTTTTTCGTTGATACAACTAGAGTAAATAAGATGTTATGGTAATAAGAATATGATAGTAATTCAGGGACTATAAATAGTAAGATTATATTTATAAAGGGTTTACTAATAGCAAGCTTTTTTAAAAAAATTAAATATTAATTAGTTTATGTGCCTCATATGCCCTTTAAATCATGACCTGTGGTTAACTTAACATTGGCCTGAGCATAGAACTTAATTTTGACATTCTCTCTTAGCTGCCCATATTATATATATATATATATATATATATATATATATATATAT